ACAATTCTCATCGTTGCACAGATGAACATTATCATCATCACCTCATCATCATTCTCATCATCATCATTCTCATCATCAGTCGTCATCGTCATCATCCATCATAGTCATCGCCTTCTTCCTTGTTGCACCATCAGCATCCTCACCGTCATCCATTCTTGCAGAGGTCATATTCATCATCCTCATCATTGTCATCATCACCATCGTCCTCTATACTCATGATCATCATGGGTGGGAGATGATGACGATCCTGTGACGGATGATGATGATGATGAGGGGTGATGATGATGTTGAGTCCGTGTCCATCATGACTATCATCAGTTGACGCGCGAGAGACACACCACAACACAATGATGATGACAATGCTGACGGATGATGATGATTTGCGCTGTGAAGATTGATGGGTTGATGATGATGGATGATGATGGTGCATTACGATCGATGGTGATGAGGGTGATGACAACGATGCGGCGATGATGATGATGAAGGCTCACGAAGGGTGCGGGTGATGGATGAGGATGATGGATGATGATGATGATGATGATGATGATGATGATGATGATGATGATGATGATGATGATGATGATGATGATGATGATGATGATGATGATGATGGAGGCTCATGAAGGATGCTGATGATGGATGATGATGATGATGATGATAGTGATCAGGATGATGATGATGATGCATGGGATTGATGGTGATCATCATGACAGACGATGACGGTGATGGATGACGAAGGTGATGATGATGATGATCATCCTCCGTGCCACGACAAGTATCGTCGTAGGATTTTGCGTGCCGAAAACGGACGGAAGATAGAGGCTAAGTCTACAATGTCGATGATGATGACGGATGATGGTGGTGATGGATGATGATGATGCATGATGATGATGATGGTGGAGGAAGGATCGTAATGATGCTGGTCATGATGACGATGCGCGATGAAAGTGACGATGCCACGGCCTGACGGCGCAGTTGAAGTGTGTGTAAGATACGGGGCAAGGGTCATGACGCCGATGATGCGATGAGCGCGACGACGGAAGATCACGAGGTCATGATGATGATGATGCTGATGATCGCCATGGATGATGGATGATGATGAACGTTGGTGACGAGATGATGAGGACAATGATGGATCGTGATGAAGATGACGATGCTCACATGATGATAGCGATGATGATGATGATGGTTGACCCTGGTGAGGATGATCTTGATGACGGATGATGACGATCCTGCGCCGGACGATGATGATGATGATGAGGGGTGATGATGATGATGAGTCCGTGCCATCATGACTATCATCAGTTGACGCGCGACAGATACGCGAAGACCGCAATGACGATGACAATGCTGACGGATGATGATGATTCGCACTATGAAGATTGGTGAGTTGATGATGATGGATGATGATGGTGCATTACGATCGATGGCGGCGATGATGATGATGATGGAGGCTCACGAAGGGTGCTGGTGATGATGATGATGATGATGATGGATGATGATGATGATGATGATGATGATGATGATGATGATGATGATGATGATGATGATGATGATGATGATGATGATGATGATGGAGGATCATGAAGGATGCTGATGATGGATGATGATGGTGATGATGAGGATGATGATGATGATGCATGGGATTGATGGTGATCATCATGACAGACGATGACGGTGATGGATGACGAAGGTGATGATGATGATGATCATCCTCCGTGCCACGACAAGTATCGTCGTAGGATTTTGCGTGCCGAAAACGGACGGAAGATAGAGGCTAAGGCTACAATGTCGATGATGATGACGGATGATGGTGGTGATGGATGATGATGATGCATGATGATAATGATGGTTCATGATAATAAGGAGGAGTGATCATGATGATGCTGGTCATGATGATGATGCATGATGAAAGTGATGATGATGATGATCATCCATGCCACGACGACGATAAAATACGGGGTAAGTGACCACAACGATGACGACGATGACGGAAGATCACAAGGTCATGATGATGATGATGATGCTGATGATCGCCATGGATGACGATGAACGTTGGTGACGAGATGATGAGGACGATGATGGATCATGATGAAGATGACGATGAAGCTCACCATGATGATAGTGATGATGATGATGGTTGACCAACCTGGCGAGGATGATCTTGATGACAAATGATGGATGATAATGGTGATGGGCCGCGCGTGTGTAAGAAATTAGCTAAGACGGCTATGATGATGCAGATGCGACAACCCTGATGATGATGACGATGATGGATGACGGTGAGGATGGATGCTAATGATGGATGACGGCGACGACGACGATGATGAGGATGATCACAGTTGCATAAAGACGACGGCGATGATGGTTGATGGATGGTGGCGACGATGGTTTTAAACGATCGATGTTTGTGATTGATCATGAACGACGTGATGATGATGATGATGATGATGATGATGATGATGATGATGATGATGATGATGATGATGATGATGATGATGATGATGATGAATGACAAATGATAGCTTTTCGGTGTAACAAGCCAATCTGATGCTTGAAACTGTCAAAGCCATAACAAGCCAATCTGACCCCTCTCACAAGCCAATCTGATGCTCCAAGTCAATCTAATGCTCTTCACAAGCCAATCTGATCCCTCTCACAAGCCAATCTGAAAACGAACAAGCCAATCCAATCTTCCCAAGTCACTTTGATGAATTTTCAAATCACAAGCCAATCTGATGCATTCCACAACCCAAATTGATGAGCAGACCGTCGCGAGCACTTTGCGTGGCATGTGCTGCAAAACCGTGATGTCGATGTCCAAGTGCTTTTCAAGTGCGTTTCGACTGCGCAGGCTCGCGCAAAATGAGGCCCGCGAGTTTGGCCGGGAGCGTTTTGCGTGGTATTTACCGCTAAATCGTGATGTTGTTTGATGCCGCAGTGTGTTTCGACGGCGCAGGCTCGGAGAAAACGAGGCCCCCGAGTTTGTCTGGGATCATTTTGCGTGCGAAGTGCGTTTTGATTGCGCAGAATTGCAGAAAATGAGGCCCGCGAGATCTTGCGTGGTAGTTACTGCAAAATCATGATGATGTTGGGCAAATACGCTCTTCGGTTTGCTGGTTTGTGGAAGAGTTTGCTGCGGGACATAGGTACAGAAACCTACAGTGATGCTAATAATTCCCCAGCCACACGCTTGCGTTGCGACTTGTTGTTGCGACTCGCTCTCGCAAATCTTGCGTTGGCCGTGCGTGCTTCCAGCCCGTGGCCGCCGGGTCAGCTTGATTGTTTACGCCCGTCACTGTTTGGGGTATCTTGCCGGAATAATTTTTTTAAACAACAATTTTGAACCATGTTGGTAGAAACAGAAGTCAGCAGCTGGGTTTGGGGACCCCGCTCGCTTGATTTCGCCCGTAGAGATCACCAACTCGCGCCAAAAGCTCGGAGCAGATGAGAAGCGGACCACTTGACTTGTGGCTGAACAAAATAAGAGCTGGTTTGCCCGTTAACGTCAACACCAAACGGCCAAGTGCGTCGGACATGTGAAAGGAGAACTATCATCAATCAATTGGAATCCCTCATCCTTCTCAGTTGGTTCAAGCACTTTTTGAGAGGCCACTTTTGCGGGAAGCAACACCTACTTGTCCAAACCCGACATTTGGACCTTTTGGTTTTCCTACTTGGTCAATTTGTAGTCAAGGGTCCCAAGAGGTTCAACTATTTCCAGGCCCTTTGGGCTGAGACAAAGGCGATATTTGTCTCGCCAGTTCTGCGCAGACTCAGGAAGCGACTTAACGGTGCGGATGCAGCCCCCCCCCACTTTTCGTGGCAAACGCACAACTTCAATTCGAGGAAGTTCTCAGGCCTGCTGGAAACCTGAACCTGAACGAACCCGAATGCAGATTTGCCCAAAGTGACTGGCCATACTTAGTAGGCCCCTAGAATGAAGAAACCAAACAGTTTTTCCCTTGCCTGATTTCTGAAACGCACGAGAAGCCGCCTTTCGCAAGCACAAGTGCATTTAGTGGTCTGAAAGTTTTTTTTGGCGGTTTCCCAAATGGTTGCCCCCTGTATCACGGACCTGTTGTCAACCCCCAAAGTGGAAGCCGTTCATTGTTGAGGAGCTAGGGACTGTGGTCCAGATTGATCTGCGGACATCTGATCAGGACTTTGACCCGCGCCTCTGACTTTCACATCTAGGAAAACACAGGGGCTCCCAAGGCCCTATTACTTAGTAAGCAGCCCTCATCCAAAACCACTCAAGCAGATCATTTGAGCGACAGACGAACGGGAAAGCATAGGCAGAGTCTCACGCTTGCGGCTTCAACTTTTGGGGAAATCTTAGCAAGGAGTACGAACTGTTTGTTGCACCATTTCAGAAGTGAGCAATGGGCCCTCCCCTTTTTTGATAGGGTCGCAATGTTGACCCCAAGCTCAAGTCAAAGCGACAGAGTATCTCTACAGTGGGAAAGCCACCCATTATCTGGGCAAATCGCAACGTGCCACCTAGGCTAAACCGAGCTCACCCATCGTGAAGGTTTCTTGCTTGGTGCATTGAAAAATTTTGCGTAGATGAATCAACCAGGGATTCTCGCTCTCCAATGAGAGTGGAACAGAAAGGTTTGGAAGAGTACTGGCGGTTGTGATGCGGACCCGTGAGTATGCTGGTAGAGACAAGCCGCAATGCGTTTTGAACAGTGCCTTGTTCATATGAGATACTTCACATGGACAGGCGAAGGGCCCTGCCCCAAAATGAAGAGGATTCTCAAACTGGCTGGGATGTGAGTAGCAGCAACAGAGGTTGGATGGTTTGCCCGATCCGCCACTTTACTTGCCGCATTTCACACCCGCTGGATGTTGTATTGCCGCAGCTTCGCTGTCAAGAGCCCGATGGGACATGAACGTACCTTTGCTTCAGCCATTGTCAGAGTTGTGGTGCGTGTGTGTTGCGCAGTTGTTCCTTGAACCGCGGCTTTTGTCAGTTAGAGTGCCTCGGCTGCGCCATGGCGGAGGAGGAGAGGGCTACAGTCTTTGCCAGGGCGCATGATGCTCGTTGAGTCGCGATGCGTCGCAAGGACCTTTGCAGGAGCTTCGTGATCAGTGCTTGCGCGCTGGAAAGAGAGGCCAGGGAAGCAGATCAAAAGAACGCCGCTAAGCTGAACGCGGGCCGGGGGCAAGCAGCGCTTCTTGCAAATTGTTTTGTGACACACACACACACACAGAGGTGTGGTTTGCAACAGGTTTCAGGTCTTGAGGATCCTGTTCATGCAGGGCAGGCCCATCAAGGCGCCATGAATGTTGGATTTGAGTGTATTTTTGTTGCACCCTTCTGAGCGCATGAGCAGTATCCAAGAGTTCTATGAAAAGCCTTCTGTTGGACAATCGAGTCCTTTGTTTGAGTCCTTGTTCCGCAACAGCTCTTTTGCCAGCTTCTGGGCCGGGAGTCGCTGAGCTGGTTTCTGGGGGTCTTAGAGCTCACAGCAAGCTGCCGTCACGATTTTCGGCAAGTCCCAAAAACCAAGCTCATCGCCCTGCGCAGCTTCCATGATTTGAGCGAAACGGCAAGGTGCAAAGTGCAACTTGCAACTTGTTTGCTTGAGACCGAGGGCTTTTAGCAGGAGAGCGGGCGGGCATTTGTGCAGATTCATGTGAACGATCTGCCTGTACTTCAGAAGTGCCCCACGCCAAGGATGCCAGGGCTGCAATCGCAAAGTATGAGGGAAGCTGCGGCCTCGACTCGCCTTCGACATGTCTTTCTGCGAACGCCCCATGTTGTTGCTGGGAAAAAGCGGCGAGGCCGCGTCAGAGTCTGGGGGATTTGACTTTGCACGCTTTTCAGAGTGAATTCCTGGGACGCGCTCGGCGCACCCGTCGATTTCGTAAGGCCAGGCGCTGCTGCAGCAGGCGATCGACTCGCTGCCGCACGCAGATCGGCCACGCTGGGTGCAGCGCCGGCAGGAGGCGGGGAAGGTTGCTCCATTTGGTCGATCTACCTGGGTCGGTTGTTTTTATATTATTACCCTGTTTGGGGCTGCAAAGGGGACTGCAAGGGGACACCCCCCCAGTTTTGGGGGAGTCCTAGGTTAAGAGTCGCACCCGGAAACAGCACCTTTAATTTAGTAGGATTGTTGGGCGTCAACGTTTGCTGCTAGGCACTGAATCCGGGCAAATTCCAACATTCCTCCTGAAAAAGCAATGCCCAAGTCACCCACAATTGAGAATGTATTCTGGAGGGAACCTCGCTTACCAGAAAAAGGCTGATTCGAAAGGTTAGCTTCAAAAGCTTCTTGCAATGGCCCAAGATGGTGCAGAAAGGGTCACATCCGCTTTACTCGCCAGGGTCACCAGCTTCCTCTTAGGTTACTTAGGCTCCAGCCCACGGTTGGCTTCCAAAGCGACACGGACATCGTGGAAGAAGGTCACCCTTGCAGCACCCTGCACGGCTGGGCGCCACTTCAAGGATTTGGTTCGGCGTCGGCAACTAAATTTTCGCCCACCTCACAGCCGCTCCCACCCAACCTCACCCCGACATTTGCAGTTTGCCTAAAGATCGCAGCCCCCAAATGCACCCAGCCCCACAAATTCAGTAAAGCTCAAGAAGTACTAACCAATGACTGATGCATCGCAGACCTAAGCAGTTTTCCTATGGCATCAACGCATGCATGGCCACGGTGTGACTTGCCTATGTTGCCTGAGATCTTGACCCGGATTCAGCATCTCAAGTCTGGTGCGCCGACAGCGCTGGCGTGGGAGCTCAGGGGGCATGACTTCCGCGGTCGTTTTGATGGCTCCTTTGACTGTCTCTTGTCCGACGTTGACGCTTTAGATCGGTTTGCCATTTAGACGCCCTGAAGGTCTTTGGCTTGGCGGGTTTCGAGGTTTCCCTTTTGACTGGGGAGAAGCACATGAGAAGCCCTGCTTCCGTGAGAGCCAGAGGTGTAAGTTTCATGTTTCCTTTTGCGCGTCTCAGCCGCACTCCCAGGTGGAGAGGGTGCCCAGCCCGCAGCCCAGACATGGCTCACCGGTTTTTCAGGATGGGGACCCCCCAAAAAACACACACACACACACAAACGGCAGTGGTCCTTTTGGTTCCTTAAGCACCAACAAAAAAGCAGACACACAGACACACAACCACACAGACACGCAGACACGCAGACACACACACACAAACACCCACAGACACACACACACAGACACACGCAGAGACACACACAGACACAGACACGCACAGTGCTAAGAATTCCCAGGCCATAGGCCAAAATCCTACGGACTGGTTCTGAGGGTCAACCTTTGGTTCTTCCCCTGGTTGTAAGGGACCCCAAAACCTTTTCGGTTACTTCAGGCCTTGTCCACCATTTTGGCTCAAGTGCCTAAGAAGAGCAGAGGATAGGAGAAAAGAGCGCGGCTGCCATTGTCACACGCGACCATAACGCCACCCGCAACAACTGCCTCACAAAGCTTCAAGCGTTACTGCTTACGCTTTGTGACTCTTGATTACTGGATAGCTTGTTCTCGGTCACCCAACCCCCTTCTGGGCAGGTTATCAATCGGAACTGGCTCTACAGTCTCAGCGGTGAACAACGAGCAGCTGCGCCTTACACATTCCTATAGACAAAGGCGCAATGGATTCTTCCGGAAGCCCAGGTGCAGCTACTTTCGGGAACAGTTCTGTCATGATTATTCTATTTCATCGGAGGAAAGTTAGTCATGATATGTGGCCCTTCACCGGCGTTGTCCTCAGTGTCAAGGAGACATACGAGAAGCGTGAAGAGCTTGGTGATGAAGACGAAGGATCGGCCCAAGTCACCTTCACACTAAGGTCACGAAAAGAATGCAGTCTTTTTACAGGAAATGGAAGAAGCTTTTCGAAAATTACGACCTTGCAGGCATCGTACAAGAAGCTCAAGCAGGAGGATCTTGGCAGTGAGTACCGCGTTCAGAACACGTCGATGAACAGAAAGGGAAGACGAAACTTCCTGAAGACCAAGCGTCTCATTTGAAGATCTATAACGAGCAAGGCGAGGCAAAGAACAGGCTCGTGGAGCACGAGAGGATGGCCGCACAGTGTCAGACAATGGTTAGCTCTATTCAGGCGAGGATGGGCAGAGACAAGGTGTACGAAGAAGACATGGTGTGAGATTTACGTGAGCAGTTGTGATGGAAGATGAACCTCAAGAATGTGCAGGTGACGAGGGTGAACGACATGCAGAAGAGGAGGCATGGCGTGCCCGAGTCAGTCTTCATGAGCGCGATGAAGCTTCCCTACGGGGGAAGCAAGCGATTCAGGAACGAGAGAACAAGATGAACGAGGAGATTCAGATTGCGCGTCAACAGACTCATGCAGGACAATTTCTCCAAGACAGCGTTAGAACACGACAGTGAGATGAGGAGTATCCAAGAACTGGTTGAAGCGCTTTGGATCCCGCGACTATTACGCCTACGTGGAGAGCGAGATAGAAAATAGGAAGTACAACCCCAAGATGGAGGAGAGCTTCGTATCACAAGTGGTGGAAGCAAACAAGGAGGTGGAGGATGAGAACGCTGCACGCTGCAAACAAGATGAACTGGATTTTGCGGAACACATAGCCGTGGGTGGAGACATGAGTGGTCGAGGACGAGCTCTACTGAGGCGTGACCCAGGCAGGACAAAGAGCGCGCGCAACAAGTCCAACGTTCGTAAGGATAGAATTCTGTACTCAAAAAACAGGAAACAAAAGTCATTTACCAGACGTCATGGTCAGCGACATCTTCCAATTGTCCAGCTGTGTGACGTTCGGCCAAGCGAGTACCCTTCTCAGCCTCCTTCCGGGAAATCCTTGGTCGATCGGCAGGACTAGCATGATGGTTTCTCGAGCTTCGTCTTCGCGCCGCCCTTCGTCCACGAGATGTCTCTTCTTCCTCGTCGTTCTCTGAATCACCTTCGTCTTCATCGTCGCCTTCGTCCTCCCCCAGATGCAATCGGTAGAGCAAGTGCTCGTCCACGACCCCCCAGCAACAACCCCAGTATGGTAAGGAACAACCTGACGCTCCGTAGGCTCAATCTCTGACTAATCTCTTGATATCCTGGTCCTGCCAAACCGTCCTTTTGCCCCTATCCTTTGGCTTCCACCAGGTTCCTTCCTCTTCTATTTGGCGCGGCCTTCTGCTGTTGCAGTTAGTGAAGCAAGCAGAGCGTTGCTCCGTGGCCCGACTTTCTTGGGACTGGCGGGGAGGTGCTCTGCCTGTGTTTCCAAAGTGGACTTGTTTTGAAAAGATTGCTGTTGGCTCAGCTGCTGCCTCAAGCGTGAAATAGATCTGCTTCATCCCCGAACAACCAGCAGTGCGGTCAGCAACTTGCGCAGCAGACATGTCCCTGGCAATTGATGAAGAAGCGTTGGCAAGATTTGAGAAGCTCGTTACCAAGCAAAATGCTTCTTTCAGGGGGCGGCGCATTAATAATGTCCATGTCATTGCGCAGGGCGCATTTCAGAAGATCCGGGGTCTGATGGTGCGGGGTTGCCGGGCAGAGCGGCTGAAACCCAATTAATTCGCACCTGGCGAGAGACAAGCCGCTTCGCTTGAGAAGCTGCTCTGTTGGTCCGTTGACTGCTTCAACGCTCCGACAATCCAATGATCCGATCCGATTGATCCAATGGCTTTTTGCTCCGATGGTTCGCTGATCCGAGGCCTGTCTGATTCCGCTGATCCGATGATCCCCTGATCCGATGACCCACGGATCCAACGATCCGCTGGTCCGATGATCCGCTGATCCGATGATGCGCTGATCCACTGATCCGCTGCTCCGATGATCCGCTGATCCAACGATCCGCTGGTCCGATGATCCGCTGATCTGATGATCCGCTGATCCACTGATCCGCTGCTCCGATAATCCGCTGATCCAACGATCCGCTGGTCCGATGATCCGCTGATCCGATGATCCGCTGATCCAACGATCTGCTGGTGTGATGGTCCGCTGATTCGATGATTCGTTGAGTCACTGCTGCTCCAACAACAATCGCTGGTCCGATGATCCGCTGATCCAACGATCCGCTGGTCATGATCTGCTGCTCCGATGATCCGCTCAACGATCCGCAGGTCCGCTGCTCCGCTGATCCGGTGATCCGCTGATCCACTGATCTGCTGCTCCGATGATCCGCTGCTCTGATGACCCGCTGGTCTGATGATCCGCTGCTCCGATGATCCGCTGATCCAGCGATCCCCTAGTCCGAGAATCCGCTGATCCGATGATCCGCTGGTCTTCCGATGATCCGCTGATCCAACGATCCGCTGGTCCGATGGTCCGCTGATCCGATGATCCGGATCTGCTGATCCGATGATGGTTGGGCAGCTCCTTTCATCTCAGGATTATGATTGAACAAGGAGGATTTATAGTTGCCAATTGCCGGCTTGAAGCTTCTTGTCTTGGGTGAGTTTGCTCCTGAAATGGAGTAACCAGACAATTGTGAGTATTTCAGTTTTAGGTATTGCAGACGTCACTTAGCGTACCTAAAGCCCGCAATTTTTCCTGTTTAATAGTGACGAATCGCGACTAGGTCCGACACTCCTGGAGTCCGAGTTCCGGAAGGCGTTGCCCAAAGTTAAGTTGAAGTCCGGGCTTGGAGATCCATTTCCTCTGTCCTCCCCGACTGGTCAGACCCAAGCAGAAGCCTGTCAAACTGGGTTCGATTCAAAGCACAAGGGGTGCCCTCAAAAGAAAGCACGCGCAGTTGGGTTGTTCGTGTTTCCCGGATTGCTCAAATCCCGACGAAGGTTGAGAGAACCCCCGTTTGTTTCTAGTTCCTTACATGGCTCTGTGTTGAATACCGATCGGTTTTGATTCGGACGTGTACGGCAAGCCAGGCCACAGCGGCAGGCGAGGAAGCGGCACGCGAAAAGACGCGCTTGAGACAAGTTTTTGTCGGTTCCTTTGATTTTGACAGCATGGCCCCGAAAAACGGTTTGACACTCGCGGTACCCTTTTCGTTGCAATGGCTAAAACAAACAAAAGCCACGGGAATCCTTTCTAAATCCCTTTCCCCTTCGTTGCCGAGTCGCAGATTTGCTTGCCAGGCCCGAGTCCAGGCACGCCTCAGGCCGAGCCATGGGAGGGCACGGGCTGTGTCACGCGTACGTGTTTTTGTTTGGTTTCTGTGCGCTCAGTGAACGGGGGAACTAGGACAGCGTTGCTTTTTTATGCAAAAGACAGTCAAACACCCCATGGTTTTTGAGTTGCAGTTCAACTGCTCGAAAATCTGAAGCAACAAACTGCAGCCGACGCACGGCAGAAATCCTTCTCGAAGCTACTTAAAGACAAGCGATGCGTGTAGCGAAACACAGTAGTGTGCAGCCGAGTTGATATATCGCCTTTCAACGATACCATTTGTCTACACATCGAGTCCCCGCTATGAAGCAAGCGGGTCGTTTGCGTGCTCCCCCCATCACAGAGACTGTTTCAGCAATTCATGCTTGCTGATGGACATGATGGCTCCAGATGCTTTTTGCCAGTTGCAACCAACATTGTCCATGTGTCAACCTGTGTGCACTTCTGTGTGTTCGTGTGCGTGCAAGTCTTTCATAGCGACGGTAGCATACCCCACCCCCCACCCCTCGCCCCCCCTTCCTCTGCCTCCTCCAGCCCACAAAGCCCGCCTTGCGAGACTCGAGCGGTGCATGGAGGCCGGTAACAGAGAAGCCCAGGCATCCCCATCAAGGCTTGCACAGAATCCAAGGTACGTTCAAGTTAAAGCAACATCAAGAGGAAACGTAGGAAAGTCTGAATCTTCCGAATGGGGACTGTGCACTTCCAGGCCTTCCATGCCGAGCGCTTCTCCGCCAAACTTCCCAAAACAGAGTCCATGCAACAGCCAGTCTCGTCTTGATGGTTTGGGTTGATAGTTGTGGGGGGACAGTCCCAACCATGAATAGGTGGTCGGCCGTTTGCATCTCGTCAGCCCACACCCCTTTAATACCAAGCTTTGATTCTGACCCAAGAATGACAACGTTTTGAAGGAGTACGCCATTCCTTCCCTTTGTTGACACTTTTGGCCGTTGATCGAATTGTGAGGTGATGTTTGGGGACAAAGAAGGAACTTGCCCTTTTAAATGGATGTAGCAATTCAGCTATAGACAATTGGTTACTTTAAGCAGGGGCAGCAGTTGAACTTTGAGTTGAAGAAAGGGTGTGCAGCCTCCTATGGCGGGGGTGATTCACCCTGGAAAGCTACACAAGACAAGGAACCTCCTTGCTGGCTCGTATCAGGGGAGTTGTATGCATTTTGGCGAAAGCAGCCACTGAGCGTGAGTGCTTTTCAGCCAGCATGTAAGATGCAACAAGCGTACCGCAGATTCTATTCCGGCTACAAAGGGATGTGTCAATTTTGAGGGGCTTCAAAGATAGAAACCAGTCAGTGTGTCTTATGAGAATCCTAGTGTGCAACTTACCCTTATTAGGCACCTGGATGGTGGGAAATTCGTTTCACTCGACCGTATTGCCATTGACGGACCCAAACTCGAACAAATCTTGCTGTGAAGGCACCAAGCTTCGTGCCCCTCAAAAAAGAGACTTCCAGATGTCAGGAAGTTCTGCAGAGACTTACGCGTCTGGAGGGCAGCTCCTCAGGCTTTCTCCGCAATGTGTTTCAAAGTCAAAACCTTATGGGTATCTGGGGATTGCCTCGTAAGCCTCCAATCTTTCTGAAGAACCCAACTGCACACTGCAAACGTGGGATTTTATACCTTGACGGGCCTGCGGCTTTGCTCATGAGCTTCCCGACACCCAAAAGCAATCTCGACCAGGAGCTTCAGGCACGGAGGCGCTGA